GGTCAAAAACAATCAGCTTTGTTTCCTGACCTTCTTTAAAGCTTTGCTTTACCTAAGTTCTATTCTTAATGGGATGCAGCCCCCTTAATGGGCACAACCCTCCAAGAAAGCCCTCCCAAAAGTGTCAAACTCAAGAAATGGGGGGTAGGGGAGAGGAAGATAAGAGGATATAGACAAGCTGAGAAACAGAGGATATGACTACCTGAAGAAAATACCAGATTTATTCTTTAGGGGCCAGAAGCACAATTTGGAAAAAATCTTATTAGGCACCTATGGTGTGCAAGGAATGTTGTTCAGTCGTGTCCAACTCTTCATGAACCCATTTGGGGTTTTCTCGACACACTGGAGCGGTTTGCCATTTGCTTTTCCAGCTCACTTTACAGATGAGGAAACTGAGGCAAGCAGGGTTAAAGTGACTTGCCTAGGGCTAAACAACTAGAAAGTGTCTGAGGCCAGATTTGAAATCAGGAAGATGAGTCTTCCTGACTCTAGGCCCAGCACTCTATCCATTATGCCACCTAGCTGCCCTAGGAATGTACAGGAATGGAAATGGATACAGTACTTACCCTTAATAATAACAGCTGGTATTTATATAGCCTTTTAAGGTTTGCAAAACGCTTTACATATATTATCTCCTTTGACCCTGGGAGGTAGGTGCTACTATTAATCTTATTTTACAGATAAGGAAACTGAGGCTCAGAGAAATTAAATGACTTGCCCAGGGTCACCCAGTTACTAAGTATCTGAGGCTACATTTGAACTCATGTCTTCCTGACTCCAGGTCAAGCTGTCCATCCAATGCATCCCTTCGATGCCTTAAGGGGCTTATACTCTACTAGGGGATTACAAAGATCACATAGGTAACTATAATACAAAGTACAGAGAGGGATGGGGTAAAGGAGTGAGTCAATTTCACAAACGTTTTATTAAGTCCTTACTATGTGCAAAGCTTGTTTGTCCTTCTTTTCTGAAGAGGACCAGGGAGTGATATCACAGGGTGTCTTGACTTGACATGAACTGGATCTAATTGAGGCAGAGTAGCCTCACTCTTTCTTCCAATCCTCAAAGTCCAGCGGTAGGACAAAAGTCAAGACAACTGGTGATGGCCCAGGATGTAGCAGATGCCTTTGGAATCTTCAGTGTCTGACCAAACTCCACAATGCCTGCTTCAGCTTCATGGCCATTAGAACACATTGTTCTCATCTGCTCACTCCACCAGAGGACATCTTCACGTGCTTGGGGCAGACGTTCCCCTCGCTGACAGGTTTGAGGTATGTCAGTTACCCTCAACCTGTTTTGGCCCTTCTGCCAAGAAGGTTTTGCCAAGGTGTGGCCGCTGTGCATGCTATATCTTCTTGGAGCCAGAGGTCAGAGTTAAGTGAAGGTGGATACCAAAGGTGGGAATGGCAACCCTGAAAAATGTGCAAGGCATTGGAGATACAAGGATAGAAATGGCTTAGGGAGACCTCGGTTCAAATCTTGTCTCAGACACTTAGTAGCTGTGTGATGCTGGACAAGTCACTGAACCTCTGTTTGCCTTAATCCTTTGAAGAAGGAGATGGCAAATCACTCCAGTATCTTTGCCAAGAAAACCCCATGGACAGTATGGTCCACAAGGTCATAAGGAGTTGGATACAGGGCAGCTAGGTGAGGCAGTGGACTCCGGCTCTGGAGTCAGGAGGACCTGAGTTCAAATCAGCCCTCAGACATTTGACACTTACTAGCTGTGTAACTCTGGGCAAGTCACTGAACCCCGATTGACACACACACACACACACACACACACACACAGTTGGACACAATGAAACAATAAACAACTGCCCTCAGGGATCTTATATTCTAGGGGAACTAGAAGTGGCATATGTCCAGAAATAGATACATTAAAAGGTACAAAGTGTTGGGGGCAGCTCTACCATGGAACTGCAAATCCACCTCTCCTTCCTGAACCTCAGTTTCCTCCACTGTTCAATAAGATGTTTGGACCAGATGATCTGCTGGATTCAGTTCTTGAATTGAGTTCAAATGAATTGTCTAGGTGAGGCAGTGCATATAGCACCGGCACTGGAGTCAAAAGGACCTGAGTTCAAATCTGATCTCAGACCAGACACTTGACACTTACTAGCTGTGTGACCCTGGGCAAGTCACTTAACCTCAATTGCCTCGCAAAAAAAAAAAAAGAAAAGAAAAACAATGTGGTGGAGGTAGAAAGGGTACACTAGCTCTGGAGTCAAAAGAAGGCTGGAAATACAATATCCATTAAACATATGATGAAATACAAAACATTTCTGCATTAGCCATAGAACATAGAATGTCAGAGCTGAGAAGAACTTTAGAGACAACAGTTTCATAAATTTCAACTTGGAAAGTACCTTAGAGACCCTCTAGTCCTACATTCTCAATTTACAGATGAGGGAACTGAGGCTCCCAAATAGATTTTACTGTTAGGATTAAGGGTGAGAAATGACCAGGGGCCATAGGGAGGTAAAACTATGAAGGGGAGATTGGGTGCAGCCACAATGAAAGGCCAATTGATGGGATTATAGCCTCAGGAGAACGCCAGAGATTTGGCCATGTGGGAAAGTCCAGGGTTTTTCCTTTCTGGGGCCCAGATCCCAACCCCATCACTCACAGCGCTGACATTCTGGGTTCTAAGGACCCTCTCAGCTCCGACATTCCAAGCTCTACAAATACCATTTCAATCTTTATCATCCTTCTGTCCTGCCAGTCTTGAGGCAGAAATTTTAAGTCGGAGAGGAAGTATCTTTCCCCCAGACCACACAGCCTCAGTGACCGAGCCAAATTAGAACCTCCTGCCTCCTGGTTTAGGGCTCGTTTTCTCTTCTACTGCTACTGTTTCTGACTGACTGAGTTAAATAAACAATCATAAGGTCAGGAACAGATAATTAAGCCAGTGGCAGTGCCCTCTCTGGTCTCTGGGGACAACAGCGACTGACTGATCAAAACAGTCACCTCCTCTCTCTGATCTCCAGCCTCTGGTCTTCATACATAGAGAGGACAGTCTCAAGTGCCAGACACTTACCTATGCCCTAACAACACATAGAAACTTCCTGGCTATGGTAAGATGGGAGAGAAGAAAAAGAGGGGAGCCTGAGAACAAAAAGAGGTTGAGATTCATGTCCCCCATAAAAACACTGACCTTCCTCCACTATCCTTCTACCCACTAACTCTAAGGATTATTAGGATTTAGAGCTGGAAGGGACTTTAGGCATCAACTCGTTCAACCCTTTGAGAAAGATTGAATTGATTGAAGGGAAAAACTAAGGATGGGAGAAGGAAGGTGACTTGACCAAGGTCAAAGCTAGTAAATGGCAGGAGGACTTAAATTCTTCTGACTAACCGTGTTGTCACCTCCACCGAAGCCCGGAGATGAATGGGAACCCAATAAGTAAGAGCTGAAACTCAAACCCAGATCTTATTTTAATTCAGATGCTCTTTTCACTATTGATTGTGTAGTGGTCACCCACCCTCCTCTCCATGACCCCATGGCAAAAAGACCCAAATTCCTCACTCAGCCAGGAGACGGAAACCTCTAGAGATTTTCCTGTCTGACCCCATTATCTATGTAATCTGTTCTCTCCCAGCTCCCAGAACAGACCTCGACCCTGCCCTGGAGGTGTGCAGGCCACGTGCATTCCTGCCAGGGCCATGTTCCCTCCAGGCCCCACCTCTCAGTTTACAATTTACCTAAATCTGGTCCCTTCCTGGGAACCCCAGGCGTTGGGCACTCCTCCCTTCTCTGCAATCTTTATAGTCTGTGAGCACATCTCTGCACCCTGCCCAACTCAGATTCATTGAAAGTCAGGTGGCATAACTGGAAGACATCTGAGTCCAACCTCTCACAGTACCGAGAAAATTATCTTTTAATGATTCTTTTATCTCCACCTGTGGGCTCTCATTTTTTTTTTCAATGAGGGCCTACAAGTCAGGGACAGGTCTCCTTTGGTCCTTCTGTCTCCCTCCCTGTCTGGAAGCCTAGCACACAGCAGGGCTCAACAGAGGCGGCCCACCTAGGCAACGGGCCGGCTCTTTTCAATTTAATTTAACAAAACATTTATTCTACACCTGTTACCGTGTGCACTGTGTTAGTGACAGAGACCCGAGGTTGGGGCCGGCAGAAGCCAAATTTCAGAATCATGCCCCTGCCGGAAATGGAGATGGGGTGGGGGTGGGGAGAGGGACTTACACTCAGAGAAGACAGCGTTTCTGTGTCTGCATGTCTGGTTTGTAAACAACGGAGGCAGACAACGGTTTGCTGGCTCCAGATGCTCACTCCAAAGTTCAAAGAACGATAAGAAAGGAAAAGATAGGAGAGATCGGGCCTCGGCCAAACAGATTGTCAATATGAGGGTGTGCGCGTGTATGCATCTAACTGTAGCGGGGAAGATTGTGAGGGGCCGCGAGCCTGTGTCTGGAAAGGCCTTGCACAGGTGGGAGGGCGATGTAGCATATAGCGCTTTGTCTGTGGACCGGAGCTCAGGAGCCTGGGGCCCACCGGTGTCTCTGGTCTCTAAAAAGAGACAAGTCCAGGGGAGGTTGGCAGTATGCCCCCATGTTTCTTTTCCTGTGTACAGGGATGGAGGAGAAGGGATCTTATGTGGAGGGTAGTGGCTTCGGGGAGGCCAGGTTGGTGGAGGAGGGGTGAAGCAGGGTCCAGGCTCCCGGAAGCTGCAGGAGGTACCCTGGAAGCCAGAGAAGGCGGGCAAGGAATGGGGGGGCCTCGGGGCAGGGCTCTCCGCCAGCGTCCCGCCCAGCGATGTGAGTGGAGGGGGCCCCGAGGCCGGGCCGGACGGGGAGGGGCTGGGCGAGACGGGGCGGGGCCGAGGTTAGTCGGCGGCGAAGCTCCAGCCCCGAGCTCCAGGAGGCTCGAGCGCGCCACCTCCTAAGGACCCGGGCAGGCTCCTCCTCCCCATTCCCCCCTCCCCGCCCCTTTCCTCCTCCAGCACCTGCTCAGGCTGCCTCAGCTTCGCGTGCCCCACCCCCTCCGCTCCCAGCCACCGCCCGAGCCCCGCCAGGGCTCTGCGAGGGGCTATCCCCTATAGCCCTCAGCTCCCCCCTATTCCAGGCTCCATCACACCCTGAACCTCATCTAGGTTCTTCCTTACCCCCCCCATCGGCACCTCCAGACCCTCCGCCCCCAGCCCGCTCCCTAGCATCCTACCTAATCCCGGCACCCCCGCCCTCTCCCTGCGCCCCCGCCTTCCCAGACTGCCCCCCGCCAACTCCTCTGAGCCTCCTCCTCTGTCATCCAGGGCCCTGCTCCCTCCAGAATCCCCTCTGGGTCCCCCTCATCGCCCCCTGGGTCCAAGACTCGGTTGCTCTGAGCCCCCAGACCATTGCGGATTTTCCAGCCCTTCCCCCTGCCTTCCAGTAACACCGCTTTTCGCCCCCCGCCCTTTCCTCCAAGCTCCCCCTCCACCTCCCCAGCCCAGGTCCCGCCCTAGCCCCTCCTTCTCGCTCTCGGAACTGAGTCCTGGCTGCCGGGGGTGGGAGGAGAGGGGAGGGGAGGCGCGTGTCCGATGACCCGTCCCGTTGCTGCCTCGGCTAGGGAGCATCCAGGGCAGCCACGTCTGCCTCGGCGGCAGCGACTCGGAAACCTCCACCACCTAAGTACGGCTGCCCGCGGGGAGCGTCTGTCCTAACAGCTGTTTTGTCTGTCTGTGCCGCAGCTGCAGGTAAGCACGGTATCTCCAGTCCCTATAACCTCTGCCCGCCGGGATAACCAACCCCGATCTTTGAGGGGCTGCTGCGACTCACAGCCACACAGTCGGCCCTTTCCCTCTCCAGCCCCAGCGCCTAGTGCCTATGCTGCCCATGCCCCTAGCCACAGGGGATTTCCAGGGCCCTTAAAGGCCTCTCCTCACAGTGGCAAACACACACACAACCCCTTTTCGCTGTTATATTCTTGTGGCTCCCAGATGACCCTCATTCCCATCATGTAACTCCTCGTCTGTGCCTCATACACCCACTCTTCTGTCACAGCGCCCATATCATATTTACCCCCGTGTAAAATGTACGTACACTTTCTCACCCTTGTGCATGCATGTCAGGTATCCCATAGAGCACCCTCAGATTACACACACACACACACACACACACACCCTCCCTATGTCATGTCACCGACCACTCTGTGCTTCTCAAGCACACATGCTCCTAGGAACACTAACTGGCCTAGGTTTGTTCCCAGTTCACAAACCTAACCTGAATCTGGCAAAATTCCTGGAGAATTTCCCACTTGTGGAAGGAATAAGGGAGGGACATGGGACTCAGCTCCCCACCTAGGTTGGGCTCTGAGGCAGGAGTGTTCATTTGGAGGGGAAATTGGGCACATTGATGCCAGCATATGCCAGGCAAGTCTGAGCTGCTGCTGCCTTGGGGGTGAGGAGGTTGAGGAAGCCTGGGAAAGGACCAAGCTGGGCCAGTCCACTGTACCCTCTGTGAGCATTAAAGGGGGGCCCTGTACTTGGCGTTGCTAAAGCCCTGTTTACTCTGAGCTCTCCCTGCACCAAGCCTAGGCTTCAGTCCCTGGCAGGAGAAATTTAAGGCAGCCCTGGCCTGTGACTCATCTTACATCTCACTCAGGCCCATGGAAGAGAGTCCAGTTAGTTGATGCTTTCGCGTCCATCCAGAATCCCTCCTCCCACCTCAACCTCTCTATCCCCAGTGACTCAGGGCAGGATTTCCCTGGGTCCTCCCATTCATTCACATGATAATTATAACCAGAGTGATTTCTCTAAGGATTACAAAGCACTTTCCTCTCAACAACCCTAAGAGGTAGATCATGCAAGTACTCCCATTTTATAGATAATGTTACCAAGGCTCAGAAAGTGATTTTTCCTGGGTCATACAACTATTAAGTGAACGTCAGAGCCAAAATTTGAACACAGATCTCCTATAGTTGCAATGAGTTGTCCACTGCCATACCTAACTTCAAAGATGAAACCATATATAACTGCAGGAGTCTCTCATCTTGAATACCTACCCTTCTTCCTTGACCTTGAATAGGACCCTCCTTCCCCAAACTTTCCTGAAATACTTTGTCCCCATCTCTTCTTCATTCCCATCATGTTCTTCCTTTGTAGAATCATAGGAGCTTTAGGTGTCATCTTCATTTTAATGTGAGCAAACTGAGGCCCAGAGAGGTCAATCAACCTGCCCAAAGTTACACAGGCAGTACAACTGTAGAATCAGGATTTGAACCCAGGCCCTCTGACTGTAAAGTCAGTATTTTTCCCACTGCACTGAAGTCACAAGATTCCAAACAGTATCTCTGAGAATGTTGTGGAGTCTAATGACTATCGAAGGCTGGCAAACCTAGAGATAGATATACAACAAAGATTGGTCAAAGGCGCAATTAAGAAGAGCTATCACTTAGAAAAGAGTTAAAAATAGTATCCCCTTCAAATTGCAAGAATAGATGTCCTGCAAAAAGGGTCTGAGAGCCTATGGTCCACCAAGATGCAAAAAAAAACAAAGACGGTCCGACCCTTCAAGAATAGCTCAGGTGTTCCCTGTTGGAGCTTTCTGGAATTCTTTTTCTAACTAGGCCCATAATCCATCCAGTTTTGTTTTCGGGGGTGAAATTCACCCATCGCTGAAGTCCTAGTTTACCATTATCGGAAGAAGTTGCTGACAGAGAAGAAAAACCCCACATGTTTGGTGGTAGGAATCAGAAAAACTGGCTAGGAGAGTGACCTGGAAACTGTCGGCTTCAATCCTTTTCTCCAAATACAGCCCGAACCAGTGGAGATTAGTGATTAAGTCTGTGGACATCAGTTTACCACACTTGGAAGGGCTTTGTTGTGAGACAAAAACCAAACTGAAACTATGCTGTCCCTGTCCCCTGGGAGTTTCTATTCTGCTACGGTGAATTTGAAAGCCTCTTCACCCTAATTTAACTTCTGAATGATTTTATTGCTCCTGGGCTACCTCTTCAGGTTATTTTCTTACCTTAGATTATTGCTGGAAGGATATTGGAGACCAGCCCTCTGATTTCACTATTCTTACTAAGCCCCACAGAGCGGCTTAGCCAGGATTGGACTATGAGGTGTTTTGGACTGCAAATTCAGAGCCATTGCAGAATTACAGAATCTCTGAAGTTAGAAAGGAGTCTCAGGTACCATCTAGGTAGATGGGTACCCAAATAGGAATTACCTCTACAAACTACAAATCATCTTGCAGAGCATTGAGGCATCTGGGTAGCCAGCTAGAGGACTGAGCTTGAATTCAGGAAGTTCTGAGTGCCTCAGGCATGTGCTATCTGTGTGACCCTGAGCAAGTCATTTAACCTGTCAGGCCTCAGTTTCACCCTCTGTGAAAAGGGGATAATCATAGGAACCTATATCTCACAGGGCTGTTGTGAGGATTATTTGAAGTAACAGGTAAAGTGCTTTGCAGACCTTAAAGTGTTATATAAATGTGACCTTTTATTATTATATATTATCATTATTGTTATTGTTATTATACATTATTATTATTGGGGGGGGGGGGTTTGCTGTGAGCTACTCCCTCCCAAGTCTACCCATTTCACTTTTGGACAGCTCGAATGTTTAGCTGGGGCCAAACAGAACAAGGCTGATCCAAATTCCATATGACAGCCTTTCAAACATTCCTTGCTGGTGGCTATCATATTCTTTCTAGACTATTGTCTAATGTCAGATGACTTCAGTTCTATTCCAAATTCCATCAACATCCTCTCCTTTCTGAATTCTTTGAATTCTATTCATCTACGTATGACTCATCCCCCTGGGTATATGTCATTCTCCCCTCTCCGCCATGGAATATAAGCTCCTTGAAGGCAGAGATTGGGTTTTTTTAATTAGCTTCATATTCCTACCTGGCACTTAATCAATAATTGAGTAATTAATGTTGAATGAATGAAGACTGGGTAAAACAGGTGGGGAGTAATAATGATGACTGCCATTTCTATTTGCTTTTTACATTTCAAAAAACAATCCTGTGAGGTAGGGAGCGATAGTGTGATTATATCCAGCTTACAGATCAAGGGAACTAGGACCCAAAGAAGGGACGTAAGAATAGTCATCCAGTTTAGCAGACCCAGAGTCAGAACTGGAACCCAGGACTTTTTGCACTATACAGCTTCGCCTCTTGGGGAAAGAAACAATTCCCCATAGTTCATGTCCAGGGGGAGGTGGCCTGCCCCTCCTGATGTCTCCTCTCTTGCCCCTTGAGCCAAGGAAGGCCCCCAGGGACCACTGATAGGAGTTATGCTGGGTCAGTTCTCAGATTCCTCATGGCTTCCCCAGGGAGGATGGGGTGAAAAATAAATCACTTTTCCTGGGAAGAGATAGAGGATAAAAGCAAGAAACTTCTGGGTTCTTGGGGCACTTAAAGAACTAGAAGGTGTGGTCGCCAAACCATAGCCAACTGGTATTTAAAAGAGGAGAATGAGAGCAGTGCCACCCACCAGACTGGAAAAAGGCAAATGACCCAATTTAAAAAAAAAAAAAAAAAGAAGAGAGTCTGCAAATTATATGTCACTGAGCTGGACTTCCATTCCTGGGAAAATTCTAGAATGGATCATTAAAGAGCTGATTAGTAAGCATCTAAGAAAAGAAGCTGTGATTACAAAGGGCTGGCACATCTTTATCAAGAACAAGTCATGCTTGAGATAAAGTGATTTATCCACTTAAAGCCAGGAAGACCTGCCTTCAAATCCCACTTCTGACATATACTCACTGTGTCACCCTGGACAAGTCACTTTCCCTCTCTCTCAGAGTGCCCTCATCAGGAAGATGATGGAATTAGACTTAATGGCCTCAAAGTTCCTTCTAGCTTTAAATTAGTAATCCTATCATCCTAAATCACTTAACCTCTAGGTGGCCAGACAACTCTCTAAGATTATAAGTTACAGACTAATTGTCAGATATGACCTAGCATGGTGGGGAGGGGGTGTAAGAATGGAGAAGGATCTATACCAGGACTACTCCTGCATCAAAGATCTGTCCTGTTTACTATTTTTATTAATACCTTGCATAAAAGGAAAGATAGCATGTTTATCAAATCTTCAAATGGCACAAAACCAGGGAGGATAGCTAATACGCTGGATGGCAGCTTTAGGATTCATAAAGATCATGAGAAGTGAGATTATTGAGCTCTATTTAATTAATAAAATGACATTCAAGATGGATAATTGCAAAATCTTACTCATGATATCAGAAAAGGAATTTCACAAGTACAAGATGAGGGAGGCATGGCTGGTTTCATAGGAAATATCTGGGAGTCTTAGTGAACCACAAGCTCAATATGAGGGAACCATGTGATGTGATAAGTAGAGCATTGGTCTTGGACTCAGGAAGACCTGAGTTCAAATCTGGCCCCAGACAATTACTAGCAGTATAATTCTGGTCAAGTTATTTAATCTCTGCCTGCTTCAGTTTCTTCTACTGTAAAATGGGGATAATAGTAGCACCTTCCCCTAGGGCTGTGAGGATCAAATGAGATCATATTTGTAAAGCACTTAGAACAGTGCCTGCCACTTACACAGTAAGCACTATATAAATGTTAGCTGTTAGCTCTGACTATTATATATATAGTCTCAGACTTCATTAAGATAGGCATAACTTCCAAGAATCAGGATATTCTGGTCTTCTACTCAGATCAGAACTCATCTGGAGCATTGTGTTTAGTTTTGGAGGCCACAATTTAAGAAGGA